TTCTCTTTACATTGTAAGGAACCTTTTCGTTCATCATATCTTACGAATTTTACTGTCGAACCGTGTCAGTAAATGAAGAGCAATTGCGGAGCGCAATGTGTAACTTGTTGTTCTTTCCGTATGCAAATATCATGATGCTGACCCTGAACCTAATGATGAGGAAGGTGATAACGATGATGATGTGATCAAAAATATCTCTTTTTTAGAGGACTTCACATGACATATTCCAGCAAATTTTGCATTCGAATCGTTTTGTTGTATCCGTCATCCACGAAAATCCTCAGATTTACGTATGGATTCGTTTTCTGCCTGATTGGTCTTCTTTGTTAGTCTCGTTGAAAACTTCAGTCAATTTACACTAAAATCCTAAGGCAGACGTTCCAGTGATGGTAAAATATCTTTATTACATGGAGTATTGAACCTTTACGTATCGGACGGATCTCTTCCCAGACAAGTCCGGTACCAATTTGCCGATGCCGGAGGGATGGAAGGCTTTGTGGGCCATGGGGACGGGGATGGATTCCACGTGCGTGTCGCCGTGGCGCCTCCAACCGCCGCGCCACACGCACGCTTCATGCGCGGATATAAATACGCAACACATTACAATGAACTACTTTTGGATGATATCTGTGAAGTTCTTATTAAGGAGGAGAATAGACATGAACAGCATTTCCACTTTATTTCAAGCATTAACTAAAAGAAACCGTCGACTTCTAAGAAAATTAAGAAGCTGTACTGGGTGCCACAACGGATTATTAAATTATCACGACTTCATAGGCAGCTTTTTCTTGCATGACACGTCTTCTTGTCTGGTCTGCAGGTTCCAGTACACCTTGAATACGATTCGTCTCTTTCATTCATATCCCACAAATCATTTGTAACTTTTTGCGTCTCGCTTAGACTGCCGATTGAGAATTTTCGTCTTCGATATGAATGTCGTTAAGTGCTTGTTCAAGCGATTTTCGCAATGAGTGTTGGGATAGCCGTGCTAGAGAGTTCCCAGGTAGAGTTGAGGGACTGAGCTAATTCCACATAAGTTTGGCATCAATTTCCCGATCTCGGAAGGACGGGAGCTCTCGTGAGCCCAAAGTGGGGTCGAACCTGTGTCGTGCTCGTAATGAGCGGTATCACTACCAATGCGCTACACACCCATCCAAATATATTGTGAAACATACAAAGCAGATTTACACTGTATACAGCTAAAGTTGCCCAGAATGTTTAACAATGGCCAGAAAGTATTCATTAAGTTTGGGAAAAGTTCACGTTCTATGTAAAATTCAACGTTTACCAGGTTATCGTGATAGAATGTCCATCCAACATATGAGCCTGAGTAAACCTGGCAAATAAACTCGTCGGAAAAACAGGTTTGTGTCAAGTATTAGAAGCAGGAAATAGCGGGGGCGATGTGGTCCAAACCTTGGTTCCTTGGTCTGTGTTCGACAAAAACTACTTTATGCGCCAAAAAAACTACCAGTAATAAAATGTATTGTATATAATTGCATCGCCCACTCCAACCCTCAACGTGTGATTCTATAGGATGTGGATCGTCCATTTTGGGTTAAATGAATAGCTTCTCAACTGTAGCTTTTGTAGGAGTAACCGTTCGAGAAAAGACATTTTGTACACACTACAGTCCACAAAAAATATTGGCACGAGATAATTTTTCTACATGAATTTGGTGGTAATCATTGTATGGAGAGAATAACACCAACGATTCTTACTAATCACTAAGTACTGCGATATGTTGCTCTGAAGGAGAGGCATTTCAAAAGGTATGAACCATGTATGACGCGTATTAACAGTTACAACACTTTAAGTAACATTAGCCTGACCCGTGAACATGGGTGGCTATGAAACCTTTTGCAGAGAGGACATCATGAACCTTACCAGCTGTACTTCTAAGGTGTTGATGTACAATAGTGCACTCACCATCACCATCTTTCTTCACCGACGTTCCGACAATGACTATGATAATTTACGGTTTAAACATTTCACTAACTCTGATAGCGTACAATCGTAAGCACATTGCCTTTACTGATGAAGTAGAAAAATCCAGGATGATATAACACTGCCGGTAGCAAATACATTAGTTGGAGATAAAGAACGACATTACCACTCATTTCTGTGCCTATGTCGCGAGTAGCTTGGTGGTTACAGATGTCTTACAATATACACATCTTTGCTGTTTCAATCCTGACTCCAGAGTTAGCCGATCCCTACACTTTTCTGGGATCGGAAATTTGGTATAAAACTTGTCTAGGAAAGCAGCAGACAGTTCGCACATTGTTAGACCCTGAGAAATTGTTGCGTGGGGCAAATAAGCGTGCAGTCACCCCTACGATTCTTTATGGAATCCAATGCACGGCATTTCTCCGTGGAACTGATTACTCCTCATATTACTCCTCACCTATTATGTTTATTGGGCAGCTGATCAGCATAAGTCGATAATCAAATGAATTGTAGCAAAAAGTGTTTCATACCGTTTTCTTTTGCATGTGACGCAATCATCGGAGGCGCCCTGCAATAAACACTGGATCGACTCTCACGTCCATGGCCCATCAAGCCTTCCATCCCTTCTGGATCGGCAGATTGGTACCAAACTTGTCTGGGAGGATAGTGGCACTAGCTCGATATGCCGGAAGGCAGCCGCGAGTTATTGTAAAAGCTAGATATGCATTCCATCACCTCCAAACGATGCTTGATGAAGTCGACTTCATGGCGCATCCCTAAAGGATAGATCAACGCCGATAGCTTTATCCATTTATCCCTTTACTGTTTTTTCTTACTCTCTTGTATATTTTAGGGAGAGGTTAGCACAACGGTAGAGATGTTGTTCAATTATGCGCACAAAGCCTCTATTCAACACCGCACCAGGTCTGCAAGCTTCCCATGCTCCTAAGTCGGGAATCTCATAGCAGATTTGTCTGCGATGCTCCTTAGAAAGACTGGCAACTGCCTTTGTTGATGATCTGGGAAGGGCCTAGTATGGCGATTTCAGGATTTCAGGGAAAATCTACTCGACCAACATTTAATGACGTTTGTAACGAATAGAAACTCTTTAAACAGCAGCCGAACCCACATAGAAAGTAGACTGAAGACCTTGGTGGACGGATGAATGCGAGGAAACGAATTTAATGCCAGAACTGCTGAAATCCGCGCGGTAAATATGAAGATGGGTCGTATAAAAAAGGTGTATCCTAGATCCTCACTTTTTTATCATCCCAATGAGTTATACAAGTTGAGTACCACATAATTATACTTAAGAATACATGTTTGATTGTTTAGGTGTATGTAGACTGGAACCTTCTCGTCTCTTCAGTGAAAAGCTCGCATTCAAATGATTGTTAACTCAACCCTCCCGTATGTACACTATAGGGTCCACAGCGATGTGGATCAAACGATCGTACGGACACCACAGTGTCTTTCCTCAGTTTAGAGGATTCCAGAGTCTTTTTCTTACCCCATTATGTACATTCATTGAATAGCTAGTCGAAAACATCAAAATTATAAGGGTGGGACCAGAAAACTCATTCCCTACACTTTACGGAAAATGTTTTCGAGAAAATTAGTTGACCTGTGATTTGACTAACAATTAACAGTTATTTCATATCAATCACGATGCCAGCGACACTATACGGTAGCGGGGGCGGAAATGAATCAACCAATTGGGTAGCACTTCGTGGCTTATAAGCAGTTCCGCGGGAACTAACAATAGATACCATTAAAGAATAAAGCTCTTGGCGTTGACCAATGCCTGAGGGATGCCCCATTCATTCGACTTCACTAAGAATCGTTAGCGGTAATTAGATGATTATCTGAGCTTTCCATTTTTCCTTTTCATGATAGTGGCGTCGCGGCCTTAGAATACCAACATTACAAAGTTTGTAAAACAAGTAAACAAGACACCTAGTATGTTTCGAAAGTACAGATTTTATTGACGATAGCTGTTAGTACAGCTAACACCAAAACAGATCAGAATGTTGCGAAAACCGCTTTCGAGGAAACCAATATTCCCGGAAAATATTGGAAATTATTCTGTACAATAGAAATCTGCAATAATAATAGACATGTTCACAAAGATCTACACAAAGCGCAACCAGAACCTATTTCCAAACACCAGAGCCACAACCACTATTAGTGATCTACACGACTTTCGACAGTGTGAAAAATAAGGAAACACAGCATTACGCATGAAAGATGATAACAGGCTGCACTTTGCAGACTTCGAGGTGATAAAAGAAAGTGAAATGTTGCTGTTTAGTAAGAAGAGAATATTGTTTAAAATGCTTTTGAAGGAGCCAGCAAAATTAGTGGACTAACATATTACATGAGTTCCAACGGTGTGATAAATAGGGACATACAGATTCATAAGAGATAATTAGCGATGGATCTTAATCTGCAGTGTCACGCGGTCATAAAAGACTTCATAAATCACTGAAGATAACTTTGAAAACTTTGGATACATAGTTAGGAAACATTAGCCTATGGCGTGTCTCGACAATCGACATGCAAATAGTGAGGAACAATGTGCCAAAAGAAACACACTTTCACAGCAGGGCCTCAGGATATTGAGCAGCTACTAGTAATGTTACCGGTGATCCGTTGGTTTCGCCGTTGGATATTGTTGCTATCGGTATTGACAGTCCTGGAATGTTTTTCAATTGTCTCCGCGGTAGATTCGGATGGGCTCACATGATTTCTGACAGCAAAATGAAGGATTGTAGAAACTACCAAAACCAGCCGCGAGGACTTGGGTTTCGTTTTAGTCAGGGGTGTAGGTCGGATGCTAGGGGTGCCCTACGATGCTGGAACTGGGTTCGTGGCAGCGGAAGCCAATGGACACATTAGTATGTAAATGAACATACCACGTAAAACATTACAAGCACTCTAGTTTTGGGCTAGTAAAATCCTACACATGTATCGAAGAAGTCACCCTAGATGGCTTATCCGAAGCCTTCAATTACTTTATCTTGTAACGATTCCTGCACACTAACCAGAACCTACATTTCATATTCATATTGCTGCAGTTGTTCTGCTAGTCTCCTATCGCTCTCTTCGGAACTGATCTCAACGTCGCGCATGGAATCTGCCAGAGCTATCGACAACGCTTGGTCTTCAGAGATGTGCTAAAAGCCATGCTCTCGTGATTATCTAGCTTTCTCTAGAAACAAACTCACGGATTTCCTGGCCTCAGTTGCACAATTGTGCCTGCCCTGATTTCTCGCAAGAGTCGCAGCTCTAAAACATTTCATTTCGATTTCATTAAGAATTGTACGAAAAAAAACATCTACCAAAAAAAAATCTAGACTTTACTAAACAAAAACATAATGGTCAAAATAGAAGAGTCATAGAACCTACGTTGCTTTGGAAATGGCGAGGTTGCTCTCCACTTGACCACAGCGGTGATCAGCCTCATGACGATGTGCAAGGCAAAAGTTATTGTTACATGATGGACAAATGATGGGAACAAGCTGGAATACAATACAGTACACTAGGACTTTATCGGTAAGTTTCCATATTAACTAACGACAAACCTCTTTCTTTTTACACCCTTTCACGGTGCACTTATTTGAGAACAGCTTCTTCTTTGCATTAACAGCACAGTTATTCAGAATATGTTCATTGATCTGTAAGTAACATTTAATCAATGTAAGTAAACCACATGCGCATACATTAGGTCTCAGCACATCTCTAAGCAAAAGGGTCTACCTGGACATCTGGAGAAACACTTCTGGGTGTGGGTACGGGCCTACTGCACAGGGGACAAACCGGAACTTGTACGTCCTAAAATCGATTCTGATAATAAAAAAAACGACAATAACGACTAAACTCACAGGTCTAAAACGACTACTAACCTTTTCATAGGCCTTGCCACATTTGTGCGACTCATAAGTGAAATGATTTATGCTTAAAAATACGGATTAACAAAAAGATATAAAGGAGAAGACAACTCGCCAAGCTTTCAAGACGGAAATGAACTCACCAGAAAGTTTTCGAACAAGCATCACATCGTACAGGAAGAAAGTCTAAATGAAGAACTATTTTTTTCCAAAGTTCTTAACAAAAAGGCTTGTAAAGGCAGGTAAATTATACAGATCAAGTTTCGCACAATTACAATAAGACTATTCTAACTAGTAAATAATGATTCTAACCAACCAATAATGATCAATACAAGAAACAAACCGAGTAAATTGCACAGCTCCGCATCACAGTGTTGACCGAGATTCGGAAGTTCAGCCATTGAACCTAAAACATCATAAAAATGACTTTTCCAGAACCACTCGGAAAATATACTGAACCGGATGGAATAGAAAGTGAATCTGTGATATGATAATGACAACAGTAGGAAATACTCCCTACGGTTTCGATGTTCCTAGGTATCGGGCTGCCCATTCATCTACCCGGAAGGACCACCCAGACCGAGAAGGAGTCCGGTATTTCCACCAGGAAGACCAATTAAGAGTAATCCAATACCAGGATCCACTACCATCATGGTAGTAAACCAATCGCACGATGACAAATCTTCTGATCCACAAGGGCGGCAAATGCCTGCGGTGGTGACGACCTGGGGTAGACCATGGCTAGGCTGACCTCGGGACTCCAGGGACCACAATAGCTAAGCCAATAAAACTCCAAAAAATGGAAATTGTGCTGGGGCACCACAACCAGTGAAAACGGGCCATCCAAATACCCGAGTAATAGTAAAGAGAAATATGAAGGCTAGAGGCTAACGGACATGTCGAGCAGAGTGCTGCCATACGGATGTGCTATGACCATTATATAACGGTTGACAATGATGAAATCTCGGAAAAATCGCGAATCAGCTGATGATGACAATGACGTCATAGTCGTTGGCAGACGGCCAGTGCGCATACGGAGGTCCTTTAATGGGTGCACGGCGTCGCTCATTCACTACACTGCCGTGCGTTCCGCAGCAGATTGCTTGCTTACTAGAACTCTTTGAAGACCACAAATTTTCCGAACATACGTATTTGTGAATCTCGATTCGATTTTTTTCGAATTTCGAATAATTCGAATTCGAATGGCCCGTATGACAAGTTGGGTGTGGCGTCTAGCTTGCATATTTTCATTAGTGAAGCAGATTTAGAAGTATGACTAATCGTTTCTTTCTGGGTTCGATCTTTCTTCTACATTTATTATCGACGATTACAACCTAGTTCTCTTCCAAACTACCCCATATGAAACTGTTTAGCGTGGGTGATCCTCTTTTCGATGCGGGTCCCACGAGGAAAACTGACAGCGTATCGATTGGCTGACGCGTCCGCCAATCGTTTAGGCCACTGGCGTGGGCTGTGTCTTTTTCTTTATCAGGCATTCTTAAATCCTTCCGATTGTGTAGTGGTTCTGAGATTTTTGTATGACTTTCGCATCGATTCGTGTGGCTCTGTCTCGTCTTGCTATAGCACAGAGGGGACCACAAGTCGCGAGTCGTGTTCTGTGCACATCCTCAGCTCAAGCTCCAGGTGGCGTATCGAACCAGGATTTCGGTCGCTATACACGTCAGTCGGATTCGCCCTTAACCGATCAGAAGAAAGCGTACCTGCTTCATCATACACAGAAGATGAAAGATTCACAATAGTAGGTTTTCATTTCCTTGTATTGTGTTCAAAACAAAATAAGGTGCGCGTGGCGCAGTGGTCGGAGGCGCCCTACAATACACATGGGTCCGATCTTTGCACTTCATGCTCATCAAGCCTTCCATTTCTTATGGATCGGCAGATTGGTACCAGACTTGTCTGGGACGATAGCGGCACTAGCTTGATACGCCGGCAGGCAGCCGCGAGTCATTGTAAAAGCTAGATATGCATTCCATCATCTCCAAAAGATGCTTGATGAGGTCGACTTCGTGGCGCATCCCTAAGGGATATATCAACGCCGAGAGTTCCGTCCTTTTTTATATGCAAAATGGTACGTTACAGGCAGGGAAGGTGGTTCGTCCTTTCAGGAAAGTCTTATTAGAAGCGTTCTGTGAACATTGGAACCTTTTCCACCTATTTTTTAGTTTCCGAAAATCTAGGCATATTATTGAGGATATCTTCTTGGATTGTTAAGCTAAAAGAAGGAAAAATGTTGCGGTTATTTACATTGCACTGCTATATTCCAGGCATACTGCGATAAGCTTCTAGTCCTCTCAATATCCCGAGCACTAAATATGTTGTAATCTGCTGGTTTCTACTTTTTATTATGGGAAGGCTAATAATCACTTTTCTAGTGATAGATATGGAGGAAGCGGAAGTCGGGGAGCATATAGCAGCAGCAGAGGCGGCGGGTACGATAGCCGTGGTGGTAATTTTTTTAAAATCATATTTCAGATTTGTTGTTTTAGAGTTAATAATTCATTGTCTAAGGCGGATATGGCAGTGGGAGCTACGGTAGTGGAGGAAGAGGTTTCTCTGGTGGACGAGGAGGTGGTGGGGGAGGGGGTGGAGGAAACCCTGGGGGCAGACTTCGAGATATCGATTGGAGTAAAGAGAATCTGAAGCCTATCCAGAAGAATTTTTACCACGAACATGCAACGGTCACACGCAGAGATCAGGTACTGATGTTTGATTGATTTTCTTTGAATATGAAACGGTTGTTCTAGAAAGAGAACTTAGAGGCTTAGAACTAGGAGTGCTTCGGGCTTGCAGGATAGGTTGTGCGTGGAGATGAATGTGTCAGTAGGATGGTCTTTCCGTGTGTTAAGAGTTCCACAGAGCTGTTTAGTTCTGCAAAGTTTTGACGAATTTTGCTAGATTGGGAATATGCTCCACACACCAGAGTTTGTGTGGAAATCGTATTTGTTCAATTCATTAGATTTCATTAAAAGTGCTTATGTTCTCGAAGCCCACAAATCGTAAAGCTTTATCACATGGTTACAGAGGACATCGAACAGCTAGATCGTTTGTTAGATAGGAAACGTATGTATTTTTGGAGCATATTTGTACGAATAACATTTCAAAGTGCACCATTGGAATACCCACTTTTTCCAAGGCGTGTTGTACTGTGGGTTCTGAAGAACGTGTATAGATATTAGGTTGGAAATTATTAAACTCTGTTCTGACCTTGGAACTGTTCAGCATTTCTTGCCCACGAGGCCAAATTTAACTTTAAGAATGTGGATGTGTTTTTTTCTTCCATTGAGATTATGAGGTCTAGTGGAGTGGTTTGTGGAAGAGAGAGAGAGAGAGAGAGGGAGGAAGAGAAAGAGAGAGTGAAAGAGGGTGGCGTAGAACTTCTTATAAATAGTTCTGGTTAAGGGCTGAAGGTTTCGGAAATCTTGTCCTTTTTCACAGGAACTTTTACTTTAGTGTGATACGCTGCATGCTTTGCGATTTTTATCCAGTGGCGATATTTTTTTTTTTGAGAAGCGCGTTGTGTTCCCTTTATTGTCTTTTGTCTTCTTACCGTTGAAGTGTTAAACAAGAATTTACAAGGGCATTGAACACATATTGTGGTCGAGATGACTACGCCAAATAAGCCGATAGCGTAAGCGCTGGTAGAAAACTGGGACATAAAACCTGCAGCACTGTTCGTCTCGTGTTTCGCTCCGTATTTCATCGTTTTTGCAAGTTTTCTAGTGGCGTGCCATCTGAACGCTAGCGCGCGATCGTTCTTGAACCACAAAGCGACCAAATGATCTACGTTAAGGTTTTTGCTGATGAAAGCTCAAAGAGGGTATTGTCATCGTTTCGATAGAAATAAAACTGCGCATAATATCCTGAATCTGCTGTTTGTTTTCTCTCACAAAGATAAGTGAATATAGTAAGCTGTGGTTTCTTTCACTTTCATCATTCCACACAACATCTTGACATTGAAAACATAACAACTTGGTGATGGTGGTGGTTTTTTTTTTTCAAAAGAAGAATAGGCTTTCTCTCCAAATATCTTGGGCGAGTCGTGCTAAATATCACCACAATCAAACGGTCGTTGTTTTAGGTTAGAGAGAGATTTGCAGTCTGTTGATGATTTCAGATAGTATGTCTGTTGTTTTAGTATGAAATTGATCAGTGGATTGCCGAAAACCAAGTGACACTGGATGGGCGCGGTATACCTCGACCAGTTTGGGAATTCAGCGAAGCTTCGTTTCCAAATGAACTGACGGATCTGCTTTACGCCAAATTCCAAAAGCCTACCGTAATTCAGTCGATCTCCTGGCCTATAGCAATGAGTGGCCGTGACATCATATCGATAGCTAAAACCGGATCAGGGAAAACTCTAGCGGTATGCTTTGATCTGCCTATTCTGGTTCTTCGAGTAGTCCCAGTGTTTTTTTTAGTTCATGTTGCCCGCAATTATCCACACTACGAAACAAGCCGTTCGGGGACGCTACGATGGTCCATCAGTACTGGTATTGTTACCTACGAGAGAGCTGGCCCAACAAGTGCAGGAGGTAATATGTCCATGCATATGTATACATACATATATACATATATTCATATACATATTATATATGTAAAAGGATAAAGCTCTCGGCGTTGATCAATCCCTGAGGGATACGCCATGCATTCGACTTCATTAAGTATCGTAGGAGGCGATTGAATGCATATCTGGCCTTTACAGTGACTCGCGGTGGCCTAGCGATCTATCGAAACAGTGCTGCTATCCTCCCAGACAAGTCTGATACCAATTTGCCGACCCCGGAGGGATGGAAGGCTTGGTGGGCCATGGGTGCTGGGATCGATTCCACATGTGTACCGCAGTGGCGCCTCAAACCACTGCGCCACACGCGCTCTGTATATATGTATACATATAGTCATACATATATTTTATGCATACATACGTATGTATATATGTGTATATTTTTGATTTGTCTTTTCTGGTTCTTTGAGTAGTTCTAGTCTTCTTGATTTGCGCAATACACACATATATATATACATATATGTACAAATATATATACATGCAGACATATATATATATATATATATATATATATATATATATATATGTGCTTGGGTACTTGGACGGTCCATCATCACTAGTCGTGCGAGCCCCAGTACACACTCCATTTTTCGGAGTTTTGTTGGTTTAGCTATTGTGTTTCTCTGGTCTCCCGCGGTTAGCCTGGCCAAAGTCGGCTTCAGGTTGTCACTACCACAGGCAGTCGCCGCCCTTGTCGATCGGAGGGAGATACGGCACCATGTGACTAGTTTGGTACCGGGATGGTGACGGATCCGCGTATTTGTTTGTTTTAACTGGGCATCCTAATGGAAGCGTTGGACTCTTTCTCAGCTTGGGAGACCCTGCCGCGGTGATGAATCCCGCTCCTTGTACATCACACCCCGATACACAGGAACATCTCTCAGCCACGATGGGGCGGTAAATTGTTGGAAGGAGTCGTTGTGTACGTATACATACATATACATATATGTGTACATATACATATATTTACAAATGTACATGTATATATACATGTGTATACACAATCACCGTTATGTACAATATATATATATACATATATATATATACATATATATATATACATATATATATATGTATATATATATATATAATATATATATATATATATATATATATAGGTAACATGAAATGTGCGATCTTAAATGTAAACTAGGTAGCCACTACTTTTTTCATAATAAATTTTACTATTTTGAATAAGCACAGTTAGAATCAGTACATTTTTTTACAACAAAAAAGAACTTTATTTATTCCAGTTGCTTACAATTCTGGAGTTCTGGAAGCGGTGAATTGGTTGGATTTTTTCCGTTGTCGTGGTTTATGAAGCATTCCTCGTTCAGGGTCAAGGTGCTTAAAGAAGTGGTAGTCGGTAGCCGAGAAGTGTGAATATGACGGATAAGGCAAATCTTCGTAGCCCAACTCGTTAAACTTCTGTAGCGCTGGTTCCACAACGCGAAGCCGGGCGTTATAGAGAAAGATTGGTCCTTTTCTGTTGGCTAATACCGGTCCTTGTTGTTGGAGTTTACGGTGCATTTCGTCGATTTGTTGGCTATACTTCTCTGTCGTAATCGTTTCGCCCGGATTCAAAAAACTGCGATAAATCAGCGTGGCTTCAGGACACTAAATAGTCACCATGACTTCTTTTGGTGCAATTCGGCCTTGGGAAGTTCTGTGGAGCCTAATCACAATCCAGCCATTGAGCTGAACGTCGCCGGTTGTCGTACAGAATCCGCTTGTCTTTACACTTAACATTTCAATCAAGAAAATGGTTGTTTTGTTCTCGCAGAATAACAACAAGCGACCCTTCATAACGGCTGTTTTTCTGATAATCGTTTAATTCGAGCGGGACCCAGTGGTCGAGTTTCTTTGTCATGCGATTTAAGTGAGTGGAAATTATTCCCGCTTACGCCAAGCTGTTGTGCAACCTCTCGAATAGTTGTTTGCATGTTTGCTTCTACTTGTGCCTTCAATTCATGTTCATTGAGGTGTCCGCGACCTACCTTAGCTTCGAGGTCGAAATCATTTGATCAGATTTTCCTGACCCGTGTTCACACTGTTGATTCACGAATAGTACCTTCACCCCAAACTTGGTGATATTTCAAGCTCTTACCGCGGCATTATGTTCACCCTTCCATTCGTGAAAAAAAAGAACACGAATGTCACGTTGATTCGTACTCAAGTTAAAGCCAATAAAAATGTTAAAATATTAAATTTTGGGAAAAACCAGTACTGGATATAGAAAGACCTGACTTTGTGATTCAAAAATATGTGTTAAACATACACAAAGAACAAAAATTTTTGTTTAGAAAAATCAAATGGAAAATTAGAACAAAATCGGACAATTCATATGTTACAATCTAGTATGTATATCTAATATATATATCTGTATATATATATAACGATTTACCGTCTCATCGTAGCTGGGAGGTGTTCCTGGGTGTCAGGCTGCGATGTACGGCGGGTGGATTGGTCCCACCGGCAGGATGTGCCATGCTGAGGAGTGCGGCATTTCCATCAGGAAGCCCAGCTAAGAGTAAACCAATAGGTGGATCCGTCACCGTCCTGGTACTAAACTAATTACATAGTGGCAAATCTCCCTCTTATGCGCAAGGGCGACGACTGCCCGTGGTGGCGACGACATGGGGTGACCATGACAATCAAGGGAACCACAATAACTAAACCAACAGAATTCCGAAAAAATGGAGATTATGCTGGGGTTCGCACAAGTAGTGAGGGCGGGTCATCCAAGTATCCATGTGATATGTATACGTGTATATATGGACACGTATATACATGTATATACATGCACATGTATTATGTATACACATGTACATATGTGTATGTACATATATATACACATATGGGATATAGGGATATATATGTATATATACATGTACGTATACATACATATATGTAGACATGATGATCCACGATCATCTATAGCACGGCATGTACGTGTTTCGCACTTTAGGTCTCTATTGATTTCTGTAATGCTCTTGGATTAAAGTTGGCTTGTCTATTCGGTGGAGCTTCGAAAGGCCCACAAGCTCGTGATCTGGAAAGAGGTGTCGATATTGTAGTGGCAACTCCTGGACGCTTGCTAGATTTCTTGGATAATGGTACAACAAATATGAAGAGGTAGGACTAGTACGTGTTCTTTTGCCAAGCGTTGATATACAGTTAGAGACACGTTTTTAAAGATGTTCATATTTGGTCCTCGATGAAGCTGATAGGATGCTCGACATGGGTTTTGAACCACAAATTCGAAAAATTATAGGACAAATTAGGGTAAGTAGTCTATGTAGTCTATTCTGTGGGCGTATGTCATGTATAATTTTTCTTGATGTCTCTTTTTTATCAGCCTGATCGCCAAACGCTAATGTTTTCTGCTACGTGGCCGAAAGAAGTTCGTACACTAGCGTCTGATTTTCAACGGGACGCTGCGTTCCTGAACGTCGGTTCTATGGAACTCGCTGCCAATCACAATATTACTCAGTTTGTAGACGTTTTAGAGGAGCATGCAAAACAATCGAGAATGATGCAGCTTCTTAATGATATTATGAATCAAGTTTGTGTTATTGGCTTTCCAACTAAGTATTTATGTGAGGTTTTTTCCTTTAGCCGGAGTGTAAAACAATTATTTTCGTGGAAACAAAACGTAAGGCCGATGATTTGACGCGTTGGATGAGACGAGATGGGTGGCCAACGCTATGCATCCACGGTGACAAGAATCAAGGGGAACGTGATTGGGTTTTAAGTGGTATGTACGTTGAATGTGCGAGGTCTCGGATTCGTCGTTACTTCTGCAAATTGTGGTGGTAGTATCGTTGATAACTGATTGCTCTTGCTTGGTTGTGAAGGGTTCATACTTTGTTCTTGAGTTTTTAGAGTTCAGAGCTGGCAAGACGCCTATCATGCTCGCTACAGATGTTGCTGCGCGTGGTTTAGGTAAGTAGTTGGTTATCTACGTATTTGTGCATATTTCTTTATGCGGTCAGTTTTTAGTCTAAATATTTGTTGCATTGATTATTCTTCAATAAATTATTTGAAGAGTGATGCACATTGATTTGGATGTTGGTGAGGTGTGCGCGCCGCGGTCTATGGAGCTGGGTGAAATGAACGTGTCTCGAAGATCACGTGGCTCTGAATCGTCGCAGAGCTAACTGACTGAGCAACGTTTAGCCTGCCGGTGTCAACACGCGCCTTTTACATTATTGAAGCAGCCATCGTCCTGTGGAAAGTGGACAATCGGTGGCAATGATATGAAAATGTGACACCGGCATTACTCGGTAACGCTGTGAGAGCTCTAAGCCGTGTGCGCGTGCACATGCGGTGTATGGGGCGTCGTGTGTGAGAGTCGTCGTGTTCTGTAAAGAGCACGAGACCGCTCTGAGTCGGAGCTGATCGCCCTAGACATTGTTGTCTGCGCGTGGGCAGTGCTCCGGAGTGGAGTGGTTCTCTCCGCGGCCGTCTGTTCACCGCCTCGCTCAGCATTCGGACATGCAGGTGTGTGGACGCATTCTTCGTTTTGAGTTATTAGTCTAGAACGTGATGCGTAGTGTGATTAAACTGAGGGGCACGATCTTGAAGATTATGTAAATGTTGTTTCTATTTGGAAGGGGTTGGTCTTGCGCGTAACCTTTATTGTATCTGTTTTTGCGTGAGCAAACCATGTGTTTCGTGTGAGCTTTAGTTTCATAGGACTTCTTTCAACAGTAACTTCCATTTGGTCAAAAACGTCATCTGAAATATTTCAACTTTGGTAGTCAATTTATCAAATGCGGTAGAATTAGAAGCCAATAGCGCGTTGAGGATGGCCACATCCATTCTTCAAAATCGTGTATTTCCTCCTCAACTTGGTTGTAACAAAAGTAGTATTAGTGGGATCATAGTTTGGAGACATTGAAACATTACGTTGAAGACAAAGATTTATGCACTCATGGAGTATTTTTAGATGTTGATGACATAAAATTTGTTATTAACTACGACTACCCGAATAATTCAGAAGATTATGTTCACCGCATTGGACGAACCGGTCGCCGTGATAAAAGAGTACTTCTACTTTGACTTTGTTTAACGATGGATTGAATAGGTGTTATCAAACGTTTTTATAGGGCACAGCGTACACGTTTTTCACGCCACAAAATGCTCCTAAAGCAAAAGACCTTATAAAGGTGCTAGAAGAGGCTGGTCAAACTGTACCACAGCCGTTACGTGATTTGCAAGGACGAGCAGGAACTGGGAATAGTCGTGGTCGATGGGCCGGCAGTAGTGGCGGAGGAATGAAACGCGGCTACAGTGGCAGCGATGACTATTCCGGGAAAAAAGGAAGGTGAGGAATGCAATTAGAGAAAAAGTTCTATGATGTCGTGCGCAGTTTTGTTTGAGCTTCTTGACTTTCTTGACATGTTAGAGAGTTTGTTTTATTCACTTAATTCGCAATTTAGATATGATAATGGAGGTGGTTACGGTGGTGGGCGATGGTAATTGAAAATTTCGAATTATTACCAGTCTATTTTGTGTGAGTCCAAGATCTTCATAATGTATCCAATACAGTTAATAATAAATTAAACATGTTGCTTGTTAGTGAATAAATTGTCGTGATTCTGTTTCATTGCTGTTCTGCCTTGATATTTTCTACATCGTTCCGCTCTGATGCATCTAAAATAGTGGTCATCGATTAGGGAGCGAGTGGATCGAAGTGGCATCGTATTTTGCCAAACGTTAGTCATCTGCAAAATTATTAACACCGGGTTAAGATTTAGAAATTTAGTTGTTTTAAAACTTTGAACCAGCTCACTGTGGTTTGTACTCGTTCACTAGGTATCCCACTGTGTGAATTCTTATTCTCTTTTTTGCTGCCTTCGATTAGTGGGACGTCAGAAGGCCTTGGTGGGCGGCGACTTTTTGTTGAGTGTAAGATTGGGCTTGGAGTAAAGCTTGCGGAGTGTCCATGACTGAGAAGACCTTCACTTCCTACATATCCGTGAAGAAGAAATTTTGATCCGAATCTGAACGAAAGGTTGCTGAATTTCCTGTGCATTGTTCGGGGTTATGTTGAATCGTGGGAAATAACTCATTCGTAATTTAGTATGGTTTTGGGAGCTGTTTTATAGCGCTGAAATTCCACGATATGTTGTGTAATGGTATTATTTTAGATGGGTGGATATGTCAAAAGATTAGCTAGAGAAGAACGTGCAGACTAGTCAGATACGGGGTAACGTGGTCGAAATTGTGAATGAATGCATAGCTTTTCATAGGTTAGAGTTTACATGTGTACTCGCCTTGGAAGTAGAGCTTACATGTGCACTCACTTGCCTTGGAAGCAAAAGTGGAAAGGAGTAGAAATTAGGTAGAAGCTATAAAAGGATGAAGTTCTAGGCGTCGATCAACCCCGAAGGATATGTTCTCAGTTCGACTTCATGATGAATTGTTAAATGTGATTTAGTGCATAGCTAGCCTAACAGTGACTAACGATAGTCTGCCGTTGTATGAGGTCAGCTCTGTTATTCTCGCAGGCTGATATGGTACTAAGTTGCCACCGCCGTTGGGTCGATATGGTGCTAATGTGCCACCGTTGTGGGGGTTGAAGGTTTGTTGAGTTCGAAAGGCTACATCGAATCAAGGAAGACGTGTACATTGTTCGATACCTCTAACCACTGAACTACGCGCTCCTCAGAAGAGCTGTATGTACTGTGAATTCTTAAAACTAATTAATTCGACGTGAGCTTTTACACTGAATTTGCATAGATTTTTAGGTCTCACTATTTGCGAGATCACTTATCCTCATCTTTTGCCTCGGTGAGAACAATCATAAATCTTTCTCAGTGTTCAACGTACTTCTCGATGAAATTTATAGTGAGGTAATCCATTTTGTAGACTTCTAACACTTTTCGACATCGTGTCTCCTTCTCGTTTATCCAAAGCCTTTGAAACTGGAATTGTAATCGATTTTATGATGAGGGTATGTTTCTTTTTCATTTATCGATGTAGGAACTTTGCCATCACGTTCCGGAAAAAATGTGGCTGCTTTCTAAACATGAAATGACGACAGGTTTAGGGCGTCTTTCGCTGATTGTGAATGAATGTGTTGGTATGACCAGTGGTTTATGAGTTTGACGTTACGGTGGTGTATCGCCCCGTAGCAGTCATAGTCACCAGTTCTAGATGTCGCCTACAGAACATTTACGACATAATGGTGACACAGCTGCTAGTAGATCTTATAAAATTACGAAGTTCGTTGAAACTCGTGTATTCTTATGTCACACTGTTAGTTCGTCGTCTTCATTACCTGTACTCCCTTTTTTACCCTGGAGTAGAAGCTTTTATTTATTTCTTTTACTCATGAAGAAAAACTAGAAACCATAACTGATTATCAGAGTCTAACCTCATCCAGACTGAGATTATAAAGGTGAGCAATGGTGGCGAGTAATGGAAATGGTATTTCAGCATGAGTTATCGATGCCTGTGTCGATGCCAAAAGCTTTGATACATGGCTGATCTCTGTGAGCGTCTATGAATAGAACCTTATAGCATCGGTTTCGTTTCGTTGCACATCATAAACATCACCTGTATAGTTTGTGGTCCCATTAGTTTCCATTTGTTTCCTTCGTGCCCTTGAGTCATAATGGTGGGTGGGAGAGGACACGTAGAGGTTTGTTTTGTGAAGAAGTAACTACCGGAAGCTCGCTAGAGCTTGCTGTGGCATAAGTTTACTTCTAGCTAGGATTCCAAATGAAAATATAGTACTCTTTCTCGGTTTGGGAGGCTCTGCTGGGAAGAACTCCTACTGTGCTTCACAGTTAAACGCCCAAGAGCACCCGCACCCACGATGGGATGATGCACCACTGCATGAAGATCACACTTATGTCATAATAAGATTCTAAGGTCATTAAAGACTTGCCTCTGTTCTGAGTGTCCAATAGGTGAAAAGTGCAAATGCCATGATGATGAAAAGAAGTGCAAGTTGAACAGCCGCCGAAAGATAAGTGAGATTGATTAAGTCATTCATCTTACAGCAATGTAGCCAAGACTGGTCAACGTTGAATGAAATCTTCAACTAACTCCAACGTTGTTTTTCAAATAGTTGGTGATATAGCTAGTAATTCTTCCAAGGATAATCAGTAAAGGGATAAAGTGCGCGGCTTTGACCAATCTCGCTTAGATGTGTTTTGTTGGATTATTGAGCTAATTCGAAATTGGCAGTTTTATTCCGGTAATATTTCGGCTTCTTCGCCTTCTTCAGAGTCGAACTGACTCGAGTTGATTGTCCACAGACTTTCGGCCTCACGATATGGCTGTTCCTTGTCGCATCGTATCGAATCTAATGGAGTGAAGACAGCTCGGATGAACTATCCCTACTTGTAAGATCCACAGACACCATGAAAGCCGATCAAAATTTTCCGGGGATTAGATCAAGAACCACTTTGTATTAAAGGTAATGCCGAATGAGGAAGACATCTGGAATGTTAGCACGGAATAGAACTATTTGCTAATCTCCTGTTAGCTTAACAAAAGCTAATAGTTAAAGCTCTGGGTGTTGATGGATTCCTGAAGGATGCACCATGCATTCGACTTCATTAAGCATCGTTTGATATAGATTAAGGTGATAGAATATCTGGCCATTATAATGAATGACTTGCGGTGGTCTAGTGATGTATAGAGCCGGTGCTGCTATCCTCCCAGAAAGGCCTGGCACCAATTTGTCGAACCCGGGAGGAATGTAAGGCTTTGTGGGTCATGAGCTCGAGATCGATTCCACGTGTCTGCTGCAGGGCACCTCCGACCATTGCGCCACACGTGCTAGCTTAATAATGCAAGGAAATGTTGGTTATTCATGCCGAGATTAGGTGAAAGTAGGTTTCTTTGGTTATTGCCCAGTATTGCAAGTTGTAGGAATTGAATTTGTGATTCGGAGTTCGGCTTCTACATCGTCCTTGAACGTAAGAAGACCGAGCGAAGGACTCGTCGCCGAAAACACACCTTCCTCTGATCCACATCGTGGTGAGGACTTGGATACGCCCTTGCAAGGTTACGTCAGGACTCCACGGAGGACCAAGCTGCACGACCAGCAATAGGTCGGCCTCAGTACCCAACACACGAGTGCTCCCGTTTGTGATGTCAGGCGGTGAGACGACCGGTTAGAGGCCAGAAAAGCTCGAGTTACGTCAGGACGTCATTGGAACCGGATCTGACAAACACATGCACGACACGCCATGGAGATTGTTTCTTACTATGCACGTATAATGCCAGAACACTCTCCACAGACGGTGATGTTCACGCCCTTCTTGTAGCCGCAGATCGAATTAAATTTCATGTGATCGCATTAACGGAAACAAAAATACGCCACCGACATAGGCCAACTAAACAACGGGACCCTTGTGATCCGCGGAGAAAAGGTCCCGCCACGAAATGTCAGTGGCGTAGGCTTTGTCGCCCACCCTTCTATTGTCCATCTCGTCGACTCATACGAGATTCTTTCCCCTCGTATAGCCGTCCTCCGTCTTCAGCTGTCTCATCATAAGAAGATCACTATCAACAACTGCTCACCGACCGACGTAGCTGATGAGAACGAATTAAGTGCGTTCTACTATCAGTTGGAGGAAGTCATCCGCAATGATAAAGCATATCATAAATTTGTTGTTGGAGACTTCAACGCCAGAATAAGAAAGACCAACGAGAGCGAATACAGGAACGGAAATTTTGGATTAGGAGAAGGAAATGAGAATGGGAACCGTCTCGTAGGACTCCTGTCAGCAACACGACTCTTCCATGGAAACTCGTTCTTCCAGAAAAAGAAAGCCGCCGCTGGACATGGGAGTCTCCCAACGGCATGACCCATGCAGTAATCGACCATATTCTGACAAAAAGAAGATGATGCCTACTTGACACATCGGTAGTCTCGTCATTCTCTACTGGTTCTGATCACCGCCTCCTTCGCGCGATGATTCGATTCAGCCGGAAGCTGGAAGAAAACTCTCATCATCGGCCACGAGGAAAAGTCTAGCTGTCTACAATGAGAATATTCTGAACGAAGTCCTGCCCAAACGCGACTAGCAGATTAAAGAAGATCCGACCGAGGACTACGAGCTGCTTGTCGAAGAATTGAAAACCTGCGCCGAATTCGCCATTGTTCCTCAAGCAAGAAGATCGAATGGCTTCTCCATCAATACTAAGAAGTTTGGCAAAGATCGATAGAAATAGCTGAGAGACAGGCGAAACGAAGGACCTGCATGGTGTGGTGGTGAACGCGTTACTCCCCGGAAAGAACAATAGTGCGTTCGTTCCCCACCATAGACACCTGCGGTCCAGAGTTTTGCAAATATCTCAGCAACGTTGTGGTTGTATTTCGCTTAGTACCCTGCCGCGAAATTATAGTAGGCAGAAAATAAAAAGGTATAACACTAAGAAGTTTCTCGAAAAGAAAAGGAAACTGAAGCTTGATCCTACTGCATCACGTTTAACATGGCTAGTAATAAGTGCCAGCAGCAGTAGAACTTTGCAGGAAGACCTATAACGCTACAAGTAGAGAAAACTCCTGGAAGCAGCAGAGAAGAGAAGCAGTCTGAAAAAACGCCGTCGGGACTTGTGTGATTATAATGTTCCACTGTCAGCCCTGATGAACAAAGATGGCATGGTCAAAACTTCCCGCCATGATGTGGAATTAATAGCGGAAACGTTCTACTCCAACCTTTTCCGTTCCACAATCCCTGTCCCATGCCCTAACATCCCCGCTGAAGAAAAATCACATGGAATTTCTTCCGTCGGAGGTTCGAGTTGCGATAGAAAGCATGAAAAGAGGCACAGCTGCAGGACCCGATAATATCACTGCTGATTTCCTGAGAGCTGGAGGCAACAATTTACATGTACTTCTCGCAAATCATATGACAGGCTACCTTCAAAAGGAGAAAATCCCAGACCAGTGGAAGGCGTCGCGCACGGTCATCCTGCCCAAGAAAGGAGACCGAAGGGATCTTCGTAACTATCGTCCCATACGCTTGTTAAGTGTACTCTACAAGCTCTTCACGAAAATTATCCTTTCGCTCATATCAACGACATTGGATGAGGCGCAACCAGTCGAGCAAGCTGGATTTCGAAAGGAATTTTGTTGCATGGACCACATCCAAACCGTGTCCGGGGTCGTCGAAGTTTGTCGGGAATAATACTTGCTTCTAGTCCTAACCTTGTCGATTATGAAAAAGCGTTTGGCAGTGTCGAAACGAATGCAATCCTATCAGCGCTCATCGACCAAGGCGTGGAGCCGTCCTACATAAGGACTCTATCCGACTGTTATCGGAATTGCACTGCGAAAATTCAGGTTTTATATCGACCTCTTACAATACCCATAGGAAAAGACTTCGACAGGGTGACACAATATCGCCAAAGCTGTTCAGTACCGCACTGCAGTGGATAATGAAGTCAATCGATTGGGATGAGAAAGGCATACGTATTGATGGAAAATTCCTATGAAACCTTCGTTTTGTCGACGACATTACCACCTTCTCAAGAAGTACTAGCGAAGCAGAAGTGATGATCAACGAGCTCAACGAAGCGAGAAAAAAATCGGGCTTCGCATAAATCGAAGGGAGACCCAGTTCATGAAAAACCCATGGTGCGAAGGAGAAAAAATTGAATTGGATGGCTCTCTCATTGCAGAGACCATCTCGTACGTTTACCTTGAGCGATCAATGAACATGGAAAACGACATGAACGAGGAACTAGATAGAAGAAGGAGAGCAGCTTGGGCTGCATTCGGGCCCCTCAAAGAAGCCGCCGACAAACTGAAAGACCCGAAAATCCGCGCTCATCTCTTTGATTCTACGGTCCTCCCAGCGCTCTTTTATACTGCGGAGACGTGGGTTGATACTTCAACTACGTCAAGAATGCTTCGCACTACCCAGAGAGCGCTTGAGCGATGTCTTCTGAAATATAACCGGTGCTCTCAAAATGTGGCCGGAATGCGAAGCTCTAATCTTCGAAATCTGGCACATCTTCGGGATCCAGAAGAATAGACATCGATAGCGAAACATAGATACACAGTGAGAAGATGGACGAAAAGAACTGTGGAGTGAACTCTGCTGGAATGCAAACGTCCCTTAGAACGGTCACCTACACGTTGGGCAGACGTGTTCGTGAACAAAGTTGGTCGTCAGCTGTACCCACAGCTGCAGTTGTTTCACAGATCACGGTATGAGAATCGCAAGCGCTGCCATGCTCGAACGAGACCACCACCATATAGTACTAATGCGAGAGAAAGGAAGGAATGGCATATTTGCTGGGGTCCGCACATCTCGTGAAGACGGACCGTCGAAGTATCCAAGTAAGTAAGTAAGTAAGTATGTTATTGTATTTTTACATTTAAGCTGACCAGGGATTATATGTACTGTGCCGATGCAAGCACTTCTTGTATTCGGTTTCTTTTCTTCGCATTCGTCGTCTATAAAGGTCGTTGAATATTTCGCATTTTGTTTTGGCTTCTGCTTTAGGAATTCATTTTCTTTTTGATTATCGTAGAGTGCTGGTCGAGTTGATTCTGCTTGTAATCTTGGAGATGGCCGGGCTGTGTTTCCGCGTGAGCTGGAGAGAGTATTGGAAGGGGATTAGACCAGCAGCTTGCGTACTGGTCGACTGTATCACTAACCACTGCGCTATCTCAATCTCATTATCACGTCATTATTTTCTTACACCATTTAGAGATATGCAGAGACATTTAATTATGACTAGTTCTAGTGATAAAATAACGTCCGACAAATCACTAATTCATGCTTTATGACTTATTCCCTCGCCAAGTATAAAAGTTTGAAGACCTTGATTGCCTTCATAATCTATGATTAGAATGATATAATTGATATAATGGATGCTACTGTTAAATGCTATTTAAATAGAGGCGTTCAATGGCGCTGAGCTGTGGAATGTCTTTAACTGTCTATCTTTGTTTTCTGTACTCGCCTAGTTTTCTTTTACTATTGTTTTATTGTTTTTTCTATTGAATATCAAGTGACCGAGGAGTTTAGAAACGTTTCTTTTCAAAAGCCGTGACACACGTCATGGTCGTTTTTTATTTTCTTCTTTTTCTTAGTGATTTTTACGATTGAACGTTCTTTTTTTGGAGCACAGAAAACCATTTCCTTGTTTATTTTACATCCATCAGTCGTTGAAAATCACCAAAGCCGAAGGCAGTTGAGGAGTGAAAATTTCGCTATCCGTAACTCTTCACGGTCCTTGATCGGTTTCACCTAAATTTTCCGTTGTCAACGAATTCGTTCAGTTATTTGTATAGCTGTGTCTAGATTACTTCCAGTACTACTAACGAACGAGAAAATGTAAAAGAATAAGGAAGTGTTTGAAATGAAATGTAAAGGTAAATATTTTTTCTTAGTCTGAATCGTATTATCAAAAAATTGGATAAAGGATAAAAGGATAAAGCTTTTGTACAAATAAGAACGAGACATCATTGAAATTCTGGTGCGCTAGAACAATACAAAGTATAAAGGATAAAGCTCTCGGCGTTGATCAATCCCTAAGGGATGCGCCATGCATTTGATTTCATTAAGCATCGTTGGAGGTGATTGAATGCATATCTGGCCTTTACAATGACTCGCGGTGGCCTACCGATGTATCAAGCCAGTACTGCTATTCTCCCAGACCAGGTTGGTACCAATTTGCGGATCGCGGAGAGATGGAAGGCTTGGAGGGCTATGGGCGAGATCGATTCCACGTGTATGTTGCAGAGCCTCTCTGATCACTGCGCCACACGCGCCGATATATAGAAAAATTGGGAAATATTAGCAACAGTTAGTTTCAAAGTGAAAGCAATTGGTACGTGTGGAGGATTTTGCAAATTTTTTCATCAGTTAGCTGTACGTTCTTCTGTAAAACATTGAAGCTTAGAACTTACGCCACCTTTTTATTGCGGCGCTCACTATGATAAACCTATAGTAATCACGTTGGCCACTGTGTCCCCTATGAAATGGCCCGTATACAGTTGACGTAGTCGCGTAAGTGTTAATATTTTCCGCGTTAGCTATTTCCTGCGGATGCGGCATGCATTAAACTTCATTTGAGGCTTCGTAGAGGTGGTTGAATGCTTATTTGTATATTAATGTGTCAAGCTATGTATTTTCCTCCCAGAAGAATTTCCCGACTCCGGACGGATTACAAGCTTGTTTTGTTAGGGCGCATGATCGAACAAACAACCATATGTGTTCTCCAAGGCATCTCTCACCGCTGCGCTATAAGCCTCCGTTTTTCTACAGTGCGATCTAATAGTATTAAATTTAATCATAGAGTAGCTGTTCCTACTGTATTGGATAGATTAAAATCTGTTACTTGGTTTGAAAAATAAGTTGGAAAATGGTGCAACATTTTCTTCAGGCACTGTTAGGTAGTGTTTATGTGTTTCGATAAAAAATATGGCTTACCTGCCATTCGAATGGTTTTCCCATGAGTGAATGCGGAACTCGTTGTCGTATGATAAGGAAACGAAGTGAGTCTCGAATCAGCTGAAATCATATCAGATTGATAGGTTGGAAACTGTTTCTTCTTAAATGAGGACATCTTCAAAAGCATTTTTAACGAACCATTACATCTTCAACACCAAAGAGCAGCAAGCGGAAATCACAGCCTCGTATATCGAGAACACCATCCTTGCTTTCTACATAACCAACATTTACCTAAATAGAATCTTAAAGATTGCTAAAGATTATAGCTGTAGAATATTATTAAATATCCAGGAATACCCACGGGACGTTTTCACTAAGGAATCAGATTGCGCTTTCTAGCGACGCTAAACGGCGTGTCTCTAGAGGGCGCATGAGAGGCTAGGCATGAATGTACTAAAAGCGTTTAGCCCTAAGATGTGGACACACTCGCGGAATGACTCTATGCGAGTGTGGTAGAGGATTGAAACATACTTTCTATAGTCACGGAAATACATTCATCCAATTATGTGTGGTCCACTTGCACGTATCCAGACTGCATCCTGGACATCGATTCAAGCAAAGACTCCAATCAAATGAATGCAAGCGCAAGGAGAGTTGTCGTGAGTCCCATCCATCTTCAGAAAAAAAGCAGAAGTAATGAATTCATTCGTTATTGGACTGGTCGAATTGTAAAGGCTTCTTTTAGCAACTAGATATCTGATTTAGATTTTTACGACCGGCTTTAGCAGTTTTCATCAATTTCACCCTAGCATCAGGACTCATAAATTGAAATGCAACTAATACGATGGCATCTTAGTTCGACGACCGTAGTAATTCACAATTTTAAGGGCTTCGACGGAAGGACTGGTTGTGGGGGTCCCCACGCCGATCGTCACCGTTACTTAGGCTGAATTGTGGTTTTTCCCGAAGCTGTCTCTTCATTTTTCCGGAGACCTAAAATTTCACTTGATAAAATGCATTGATGATCCATTTTCAAGCGTTCCACTGGGTCGAGCACCTATTCCATTTTTTGTACTGCAGGTAACCAAAGATGTGGTTAGGTTCGGGTGTATATTCTGCTGCTACTTGATGACCAATGTACTTCTTCTCTGACTGACGTGTTGAATGATTGTCGTGCGTGACTTTCTCGGTATTCCAAATAAAACCGTCCTAGAGCGTTTCCAAGTCTTCGTCAGAAGAAATTGTCAACGTTCGTTGATCAGAGAGAAGTTTGATCAGGAGGTTAACGAATCATTTAAAGGTAACGAATGCTGCGATTAGCTGACCGTTGCCAGAAGGCGACGTAACAAACCGATTCAATATTTTATTGTTGTGATATAAATAAACTTATATCGAGATGAAAAAGTGTGCAGTTACCAATAGTTTATATTTTGATGAAAGTTTGCTGTGAAAAGAGACATGAGCATTTTTCTTAGCAAGGCTAAAAAAGTGTGCTAATTGTTGTGCAGTCTTGCTCCGCGATTTCGGGAATGTATTTCAACTCTAAGATTTTAAACACTTTCCACATTCGTTACTTTTAATGAATTCGTGTTAGGAATTGTGTCAACTTGTCAACGGTCCTTTGCTTTACTGGCCTTATTTAGCTCGTGAGATGCTCGCTGATATGGAGAATTATTAGTTACAGAGAATTGCATGCTTTTATCTTCATTAAAATTACATCAAGTTCACCAGAGGTACTTGGACTTATACTTAAATTCGGATTTCTTATTAGCAAACGAAGAGTACTGGCATCCTTCCAAGAGCTTACATCCTCCCTCTTCATCGTGGCTGGGAGGTGATCCTGGGTGTCGGACGGCGATGTACAGCGGGGATTCATCCCTCCGTCAGGGTCTCCCAATCTGAGGAGTCTGGCGTTTCCATGAAGAAGCCTAGTTAAGAGTAAACCATTACCAAGATCCACAACCATCCTAGTAATAAAGTCGCATGGTGTCAAATCTCCCTCTGATCCACAAGGGCGGCGACTGCCTGTGGTGATGACGATCTGGGGCAGACTTTGGCCAGGCTGACCTCGGGATTCCAAGAAACCACAATGGCTTAACCAGCAAATCTCCGAAAAAAGGTGATTATGCTGTGGCCTGCACAACCAGTGAGGACGGGCCGTCCAAGTGTCAAGTATCAATAGTATTGGCATGAGGAAATTGGTTGCGTGAATGGAGTACATGAATCTATACATGGATCGCGGTAATTATGTCCTCGATTCATCTTTTTTAATGAGAAAGGATGGAAAGGATGAAGCTCTCGACGTTGATAAATCTCTGAGGGATGTGCCATGCATTCAACTGCATAGCGTAGTAGAGGTGGTTGAATACATGTATGGCCTATGCAATGACTCGCGGTGCTATACCGATGTATCCAGTCAGTGCTGCTATCCTTCTAGACAGGTGTGGTACCAATTCGTCGACCATGGGGATGGAAGGCATGGTGAGTCTGGAGCGCGGGATCGATCCTATGTGTATTGCAGGACTCCTTTAACCGCTGTGCTACACACACCAAGAACTAATTGCACATCATTAGGCCGTGCCTTGTGGATTCAAAACTAGCTTCCGATCCTCATTTTGAAGGACGAGAATCGACTGAAATAAGTGACAGTAAACAATAATTTAAAGAAAAAATTAATTAGAACCAACTAATAGGATTCGCTTTTTGTTCTTGGGAAATTTTCCTGTAATCAATAGCGAAGCATATTTGACACACGCTTGTCCCATTAGTGAACACTGCGGGAAGCCGTCTTTTCTATAGTAAAACGCCTAAAGCAGCTGGAATCATTCTATTGAATTCATTGCCGTTCTTTTTTCCTGGATTGGCTTAAGTGTTACAGGAAAAAATGTCTGACTTTAATTCTCCATTGGGCATGTATCCCATTTTCTTCATCATTGAAATGTGGTAGTGGTAGTGGCTGTGGACGTTTGAGAAGTTGTAGATTCATCCTACAAACCAAGCATGATCATTGTAGAACATACGATGATTATCAGATACAAGAGAATTATAACCGTAACTTATTCCAAAATACCTAGGACGTTCAATAGTAAAATGGGGCTATTATTGTTTGTTATTTGTTGTTTGTCTATAGTTTGAGGCAGAGAATGCATTGATTTCAACGCATTTGCTTTCCGGTTGGTGTTTTCTTACACGAACAGCTTTTTCATTATCGACACATGGTCTATTCCGCCCATTGGCCTAACGAAGTCATTCTCTACCCGCAACAAAAGAAAAAACGGGTTTTAGGAGGAGTATTTTTCATTTCAGTGGGAGCCATTGAGAAGTTTAAAGATGTCTGTGTTGAGAAAATGCAAATGCCACAGCATTTCCTTACTTAGTGTACAGATTGAGCTACATTAAGGATTGTTGTTAATGGGAAGAGTACCAAATGTCTTTACACTGATACTCGGGAGGCATTCATTGATTTCAATGTATAGAACATTCGACAAAAAAATAGTTGAATGTATGCCATAGCTATTAAAAACTGCGCCACATCACGAAGGACTCAAACGCAAAAAAAATATTCTCAGTTAGATTTGTCAAAGGAGAAGCCAGATAACTTCATTCAATCGGCCTTTACCAAGTAATTTGAAGAAAGTTGAAAAACTATCCGTGAGCAATTTTAACTTATTATTTACTGTTTACTCTTTTTAATGGCAGGGTATATTGCGAAATATAACTTCAATGATGCTGGAGAACGAACGAACGAACTTCGATATCTCAGCATCATTGAAGCTATATTTCGTAATATACCCTGCCATTAAAAAAGAGTAGGCAGTAAATATTATGTGAAAATTGCGATTATAACTACAGCCTCAGCTTAACTGGGTTCGTTGCCGGTTTGGGCCCCCAGATCAATCCCGCTGACTGGTGATTGCTGTGGCAAAGATTGATAGAACTAGTTGAGAGACAGGCGAAACGTAGGACTTGCATGGTATGGTGGTGAACAAGTTACTCACCGGAAAGGATAATAGCGCTTTCGTTCCCCACCGCATACACCTGCGGTCAAGAATTTTGCAAATATCTCAGCATCATTGAAGTTATATCCATGAACATTTGGTATGAATATGTACTTAGAGACTTAGGCAACACCCCTTCAAAGGTCGTTCCACTTTTGGAAGATTAAGAAACCGATAGAATAGTTATTTCCTTGATGTCAAGAGATGGTTGTTCTAGGGTTTTCTTAGGTCATTTCCAAAGAAAGTCGCAGAGTCTAACGAATCGGAAGGAGATTTATCAATTTGACAATATGTTTGTCTAAGGACCGCGGTGATTTCTGACACTGTTTTACTCTTAAGTTGATCTGCACAAGAAATTTTGATTTATTTTTAGCTGCGGTGACCTTTGTTGCTACTCATTGCTGCCGCTGCAGTTTCCATTACTCTCTTCAACTACCATTTCCCAAAGCGTTAGCTGTTCCAACGGAGATTAGACTTAAACAGAAAGCTATTAGGGGTGTTTTTTTGAAGAATTGGGTAGCTCATATGTGGAAAATTTGTGACAGTTTGCTTACTGCTAGTTATTGCGACAATAGTACTCAATGAAAGATTGCTAGACTAACACTGAATTAGAGTTTTAAGAGAAATTTAACAAACTCAGAGTCACCCTCTACAGATTTCCAATCTCTTGAGAGTAAGGTGGAAATAACAAAAACAAAAAACGGTTCTACATAAGCACTTATCAGAAAGTGATTATGCACTGGGTAGCATGTCTTTGGAGAAAAGAAAAAGAAGAACAATCAGGGACTAGCTGATGTCGGGGCTAGCTGAGATGTTGGAGTCCATTCAGGTGTTTCGTGACTTCTGTTTGATTAGTAGAGAGCGACCAGTCGTCGAGAAACGCACCAGTCTCATATTATGATGAAGCAACGAAAATCACTTTAGCTGTGATATTCGTGAAACTGAAATTTAAATGATTAGACGGCTTCCAAATTCGTAACCAATCAGATTTTTTAAATTGAGATGTTAAGGCAGTAAGACGTTCTTTTACATGCTTTGAAATTGACATAATGAAAAGTGGTTATTAAACAAAGGTATGCATATTTAAAAATTATGTGCCTACAAAATCGTTGATATTCGCAGTTGGGCATAAAGTAAACTAAAGCAAACTTGTAGGAGCTTCCCACCAATGGCTCACTACCTCATCGAGTTATGCGGTGTTCCCGGACTGTGAGCTCCGATCTAAAGTATTTGGTTCATCAGCTTCTTCTACGATGAGGACGAATTCGGTGATTCCATTCCGAAACAGTAGATAACCGAATGAGCCTATGATATATCAGAACTCTGTAACTTCAAGGAGTTCCTATTTTGACTTCCTTGCCAAAAACGTTAGAATAAGGGAACTTGCAGCAAATATATTGTGTTCGTCTCTTAATAACTCAAAAAATCGACTTTCTTTAAACCTCGGCATAGATAGTTGATATATTTATTTATATGATCTTATAAACTGATTGTCTTTAGCTGATGTGAGGATGGTGTAGATCTTCTTTGTCGTTGTCGTTGTCGTTGTTGCTGATGTTGTTGGTCGACGGCTGACGTTTCGGTGATTTCGCCTTCCTCAGAGCCGTGATGTTGCGAGTAGGACTTCACTTCACGACACAGATCTTACTCTGCTGATTCGTGAAACGTAGAAAAAACCGTATGGGATGCTCTCGTCAATCCAGAATATTCGTTTGACTCCTTGTCAACCTACTGACACTTTTTTCGAACACTTCACCAACTACTTCGTGAGAAAATTTTCAACGACCTTTCGAAAAATTTCATCGACTGTCTTTCTATGGAATATTATCGGTTATCGATTTTTTTCAATAGTTCAAGGTGAGCTGAGATATTTGCATTCGATGTTGCAGACAAACACACTAAGCAGCCAACCAAATAAAAATATTACATGAAAGACCATTTTATTTCCGTAATTATGATTGTTGCAGAGATAATTTTTGTGCAAAAAGGCATCAAATGCAAAGAAGGTTGAGTAAAAACGCGGATAGAAAACTAAATGTAGAACAAGGTGAACGTAGAAGGAATATGATTAAAAAGAAACGCCTTAGCATCTTCCCTTAAAAAATGACGTATGAAAATGAAAGTAATATTTCGGAAGGCACTACAGAAATATGTGAATGAGTCAAAAAAATCTGCATATTCAACAGATCGGAGAGATGTGAGTCATATTTGTCTCAACGGCATTATTGCAATTTGTGTTTATTTCCCAAGAAGCGCAATTTCTTATATCAGATTTAAAGTGGCGAACTCATTGAATTCGATCTATACGAAGTCTTCTCGTTGGTGGTTAATGTTTAAGTCATCATTGGTCGTAGACCGATTCGCTGTTGACAACTGAACAACGATCGGCGGAAAGGCGGGCTTCACTCAGAGAGGGTCAGATAAAAAAGGAGTGCGTGCATGTGGCACAGGGGTTAAAGGAGTCCTACAATAAGCTGATTCGTTGGCTCAATCTCGTGCTTCAAGCTAAACGAACACCGGGGTTCGAAAAATTGGTGCCAAAATTGTGTGGCACTAGAATTATTGATTTTATACACAGCTACGCCTCTAAAAATGATTTTATGGGCCAATTGTGCATTCAGTTACCAACTTTCTGATTAACATATGGAGCCGAATGAATGGTGGATTCGTCAGACTGATCAATATAGAGAGCATTGTCCTTCATCGTTTTATCAATTTCTGGAGATCAACATCAACCATGTTAGAGTTCAATTTGAGAAGAGTTTTCCATAAATCATATGAAAAGTCCCGGTTCGTTTAAAAAAAAGAGAAAGTCTTCAATCCAAAGTGGAAGGACGAAATCACGTTATCTGAGATGCATTCAAAAATATATCTCTTCAGTTTCATGTAGTAACGAAAATAACTTCGAGCACAGCAGCTACAGTGCGGGTTCAGACTGCAGCACATCGTCCACTCCAGGTAACAAGTACCGTCCACATCGAATTCAGGCAGAAAAATTCACAATAAAGCCAGAAAGCCACTAAACTACTCAACACGAAAAAAAACTGACACTTGTATGATCAACTGCAGTTCAGCTTTATCTTATTTTAATCCGTATGTCATCTGAAAGTGCCTGGAATAAAGCAGTATAGTGTTGAACTTGCAGCAAATTTACAGTGGTAATACAGTTACTTGAATACTTGGATGCTCCGTCTTCACGAGTTGTGTGGACCCCAGCACATTTGCCATTCGTTTCTTTCTCTCACAATAGTCGCCCATGGTGGTGGTTTTATTCGAGCATGGTGGTACGTCCAAGTCTCATAATGTGATCTGTAAAATAACTACATCTGCTTGTATAGCTGATTAACTTTGTTTACGAACACGTCTGCCCAACGTGTTGGTGGCCGTTCTAAGGGACGTTTCATTCTCGTGGAGTCCAGTTTGCAGTTCTTTTCGTCCATTTGTCGTTGGCTCTTCTCGTTATGTGACCGGCCCATCTATGTTTCGCTGTCGATGTATACTCTCCTGGATCTCGAAGATGTGAGATTTCGAGGATCAGAGTTTCGCATGCCAGCTAGGTATTGAGGGTGCCCGTTATATTACAGAATACATCGCTCAAGCGCTCTGTGAGTTGTGCGAAGTATTCTCGACGTGGTTGAAGTATCAACCCACGTCTTCGCAGCGTAATAAAGAGCTAGGAGGACCGCAAAATCGGAAAAGTGAGCGCGGATTTTCGGGTCTTTCATTCGGTTGGTGGCTTCTGGCCGAGACGAGACGTCGCCACCCATCCAACGCCGTCTATGACACCGGAGAGGAACTGTTCCTCGGAAGATGCGATAGCAGAGGAGTCGACGGCGTCAGCGCTCTCGTCAACACGAGTTTGTCCATGAACATCGATTCATTCGAACAACTTACAACCCGAATCGGACGTTTACGATTAAAAAGATATGGATAAATTCCAGTTTTGAAAATCATCGTCGTTTACGCCCAACATCAAACTATGACGAAG